TTGGGGCAGGGAAAGAAGGGAAGTGTGAGAAGCGGCAGAGTTTAAATTTGGAGAGGGGATCAGAGAACTTTGAGGGGGAGGATCATCGAAGAGGTTTGTGCTAAGGGAGAGGAGAGCTTTGGGGTGGGGGAAAGGTGAGGTTTGAGGAGGGAAGAGGAGAAGTTTGGGGAAGGGGTTGAGGTCTGGGGGTGATGTGAGGGCTGCCTGCCTGGGACAGGGTTATTTCCTTCATGTAAGGTGTTACTGGGCATAGAGGAGGAAATAAAATCTGTGGGTTTCATATGACAGAAAATACTCTGTTACCTCCTGAAATAAGTGAGAATTTTCACTAAAAACATCAGTCTTGCCTGCAGGAGGCAGGAGCTTTCCCTCCTCCTTTTGAAGGACGTTATTATTCAAAAATGAGGCAGAAGATGGACACTGTTCCTCAGTCACCTGGCTGAAATCTTCCTGTTGATTAAAAATTGACAGATTTTGTCTTTTCCCCATGTTCTCACAGACAATGACACCGAACAAGAGTCCAGACACGTCCCTCATCGACCTGGCTGTGAAGATGAGGAAACAGGCTGAGACCAGGAAGGTGGTGCTGGCCTGGGGGCTCCTCAATATCTCTGTAGCAGGCATGATCTACACTGAAATGTGAGTGAACTGTTCCATCTGATCCAAACCAGCCAAGATTCCACCGTGTGCAGCCCTAAATGTCCCCCAGGATGGAATTCCTGCTAAATTCTCCCTTCTTGTTTTGCTTTTCAGGACTGGGAAGCTCCTGAGCACATACTACAACATCACCTGCTTTCCCCTCTGGTACATTGGTGAGTCGTTGCAGCATTTAAATCAAATTTCAGGATTGATTTTTACTCGTTTTTATTGCTGGGAGGTTGTTTTTAAGGTGGTTTTTTTTTCTGTTTGAGTTTTAAACCAAAACTTTGTTTAGTTTTCTGTGATTTCCCTTGTAACTGCTGGAGTTCCATCTTTTTCAAGGGCAGATAAGGAGTGTTATCAGCTTTTTCTCTATGGGAAATGGGCAGGAAGGACTTTATTAATGTGTGAAATCTTTCTTAAGGTTTTAGAGAGCCTTAGATTTATTTTCCTGCTGTGTTGTGCTCTGGGTGTGGGTGGAATTTTACAACAATTCAAGCTGGTTTCAGAGGAGACTCTAAGCTCTGTCAAACAGGATGGAAAGAAGCAAGAATCAGGAGATTTCCTTTTTGGAAAGTAACAATCCCATTTTAAAAATTAAATTTTAAATGTATAAATTCATTTCAACAGTGAGGAAAATGATCTCCAAAGGTTCTTGCCTAAGGAAGTGAAGAAATCTTGGCTACCTCCCCAAACTGGCAGCACCAACAATGACCTGTTTTAAACAGACACAGCCTGGTTTTGCCAATAATGTAATTTTTGCCCCAAAAAATGACATAAATTGTGTGTTTCTTGCAGAATTTGCCCTGGCAGCCTTGTTCAGCCTCAACGCCCTGTTTGACTTCTGGAGGTATTTCACCTACACAGCAGCACCAGGCAGCTTGGTGACGAGTCCCAGCCAGCCCATCATGGGCTGGCTGCGCAGGGCAGGTGGGGAATCAACCCTCCTTTTGTTCTTTTCCACGCTTTCATTGTGCTTTCTGCAGCTCTGGGCTCTTTATTCTGAATTCTCTCCTCTGACAAGGGCTGTAAGCTGAGCTGGCTGTTTGGGGTTGTCCTGTGCAGGGCCAGCAGCTGGGCTCCGTGTTGTGGTTTGGTTTGTGCCATTTGAGGTGGAGCTATCACAGAATCACAGAATTTCTGGGTTGCAAGAGATCTTTAAGATCATGGAGTCCAACCCATGTTTTACCCAGTGCCACATCCAGTCTTTGTTCAAACACACCGAGGGATGGTGACCCCACCACCTCCCTGGGTGGACAATTCCAGTATTTGAAAAATGGAAATTTTTCTGTGGAAAACTTCCTCCTCAATTCCAGCTGTATCTCCCTTGAGACTGTGTCCTCTTGTTTTGTCTGTTGTTGCCCGCAAAAAAACTAATTGTGTTTTAGATAATTGAGAGGTTAATTAGCGTGGTACAGATGGGGGAGCTGATGGGATATCAGAGAATCCCCCAGCAGGGTGGGCTCACAGGTCTCAGTTTTAGG